TCAGCCCTGCCCCTCACTCATCTGGGGCACTGAGGGGCACAGCTCTGTCTCCCCGGCCTGGTGCGGGTGCCTGGCGTAGCGATGTGAGTCACAGATCAGCCTGCCTGCCTTCTGCACGAGGGCTCATCTCCTTCCCCACAAGAGCAGAGAACAGGCCCCCGTGCAGCCCCAGCTCCGCCTCTTAAGTGTGGCCTGGTGCTCGTGGGTCTTTGTGTGTCACCCCAGCACAAAGCCTGAGTCTCCACACTGTTCAGGGAGGCAGACGGGGTGATGTGCATGAAAAGTGGGAAGTGTGTGACCTGGGGCCACAGGAGGAACCATGACTGGAAACACGAGAGGCCACGATGACAGCCAGAGAGCCAGGAAAGGGGCCAACGGCGCTGGCGCCCGAGCCTGGGAAACTCTGGGGCTCCCTCCCTTCACCCCCACATGCCTCCCCTGGCCAGGGCTGAGGTGCTGATCCGGGCCTAGCTTCCCCTTCTCTGTCTCCAGTCGCAGAAGCCGCGTGTGCTGTCCGCCCAGCCTGAGTCTCATCTTCGGCTGTCCACGTCAGCCCTTCTGGGGACACTGTGTAGGACCTGCAGGGTGCAGGCTACAGCGTGGCATGCGCCAGGGTCACCAGTGAACTAACTGGGACTAAGTGAGAACCACAGAGGACCTGGTCCTGCCGGAGGCCCGGCACACTCTAGGTCGACAGGCTCCATGTAACCCTGGGGGTAAAGGCCAACTATAACCTGCATGTATGTACGAAGTCAGCCTAGACCCGGGAGGAAGCTGGCCGATTCCAGGCCTCTCCAGACCAGGCCAGCAACATCCATCTGGCACGGCTTGTGGTCTTTTTGCCCAGGATGGTCGCCTTCACCAAACTGGACAGTCTCCCTCGAGCAGGGCAGTCCAGCTTGAGCCCAGCTCAGCAGGAAGCCCGCCGAGGCGCTAAGGAGCACACAGGCTCCAATTTCGGCCCCCAAGCCGCAGTGTCTGCCTGCACACACAGAGCGTATTGCAAGGAGCGAATGCGCCTTACGAGCCGCTGTCATGCTCGTGTTGGCATCTGGCAGGCAGCCACGTCTGAGGCGTGGCCAGGACAGCACTTGTGGCTCCGAGGGCCTGAGTGCTTACCAGGTCCTCTCAGCACTCCGGTGAAATCCTCAGCGCCAGGAATTGTCCCATAACAGGCTCTGTCAGCTCACGAAGCTCTCCGCCCACCCAGGCCTTTTTGCGCCTGTGTTTCATTCAAAGTGCTAAGTAGCGAAGCTCTTAATGCCAGTGACTGCAGGGCGTGGGGCGCATGCCTGTGGCGCCAGCGCTCGGGAGGCCGAGGCAGGAGGACGGCCTCAAGCTTGAGGCCAGCCTGATCTCAGAAAAACTCAAAACCATCTGCTGATTAGACAGAGACAACAAGGTGTGCTGAGTCCTCGGGGGTGGGGCCCTGCACTGCCACCAGGAGACCACAGTGACAGGGCACAAAGTGAGTGAAGGCACAGTGCCTCGCTGGGGTTGAGGTTGCTGGATTTGCTCTCTGTGCTGCGGTTTCATGGAGGAAGGCCGGTTTTAAGATTAGGTCTCAAAGCGCTGAGATCTAAGTACTCTGCACAGCATCCATCTTTCACTGTCAAGAGCTTCAGGAAGAAGGGACTCCCCTACGGAGACGGGGATGGCAAGGCAAGAGGCACAGCTGCCCCTCTGAACGGAAGGCGCCCAGAAGTCCTCGGAATTACTGAGGTTTGAAGACTTGCAGGAAGAGTCGCAGGGACAGGCGAGCGGCCACAGCGCTCAGCTCACCTCGCTTGTGCGGCCAGAACAGCGAGAGCGCGGGCCTGTGCCAGCCTGGCCACTGGCAGGTTGATTCTCTGTCACATGAGCAGAGTGCGTCTGCACCACCCGCCCTGCGAGGCTGCTCAGGAGAAAACGGGCAGGCACCCAGGACCTGCGGGGCGTGACCTCATGCCCCTCCTCAGCACCACAGCGTGTCACCGGGGCCTGAGGAACGCAGGGCGCTGGGCAGGCTCCGCCCACGCCTTCAGGACAGGGTCCCTGGCTCCCTGGCCTGCTACCCCAGCACCTCTTTGGAAGGTACTTGCCCTGCTCAGGGCTGGCTGCCTGCCAGAAGTCACTGCCGCTCCAAGCTGTCTTAACGCAGGAAACAGATCTGAGCAGTCTGCGGGGGCTCGCGATTGGAGGCTCTGAGTTTAGTGCTTTCCTGCTTCTGGGTGCCATGAGGTGAAGGGAGTTCCCTTAAATGAGTGAGCACAGAGACCGCAGTAGCCCAGCGTCGTGCTCTGCGAGCCGGAAGCCTCGGTGGCTGCAGGTAGTTGCCACTTCCTAAGTTTTGGTGGCATTCAAATGGAAAATAAACTTTAGAATTAAAGAAAAAAGAGTGCGAAGCGCTCGCTGTGAAGCTACCACTTTCAAGGCCAGTGGCCGAGCTGCCTTCAGGGCACCCCGGGGAGGTGGCAGCCCGTGTGGGTGGAAGACACAGCCTTTGCAAGCCAGGCGGACTTCAGTTCTAAGCGGACGCCTGCGCTCACGGCCCCTGTACTCCTGGCAAGCCACTCATTTCACTGTGCGCTCGCTCTGGGGCTGACTCAGGCACAGCGACGCCTTTCTCACGTTATATCGGTGGCCGTGGGGACCCACGGGTGCCAGCCACCTGCGCTCGGTCCCAGCAGCACTCGTCCCTGCGACGCAGGAGGGCTGTGTGCGAAGCGACGTCAATCACGTTTCCCCGAGAGCACAGGCGCCCTAAAGCCGGGCGACCACAGATGAGGCCCGAGTGCAAGGACAGTAGAGCCTTTGAAAGCAGCGGCATTAAAGCGGGGTTTGTACTTCAGGATGAGCACAAAGAGGCCATTAGTCGGCTAGCCAGTGTGTGCGCTGCAGGTCAGCACGAGGCTGCACGGCTCTGAAGCGGGAGGTCCAGGCGGGCCCAAGGGAGCGCCGGGCCTCGTGACCCAGGCCGCACTGCGCCTTTGAGGAGCGAGGCCAGGATGGGCTTCAGGAGCCAGCAGCGCCGCTACTGGAGTCCAGACGTGTGGATGTGGTGGGGGCTTCCAGGAGCCCATGTGGACAGTGCGGGGTGGGGTGTATGGGAAGGGATTCCTGAGGGGACGCTGCTACTGGCGGGTGTGGAGGAGGAGGGCTGGGAACCCACGGCCTTCCTCGACACGTTCAGCTCCTCCTGCTGGCAGCGTGCGACACCTACTTCCTTATTATGAGGGGAGGGGAAGGCACTGGAGCTCGGATTCAAGCAAGTACGACTGGGGTGAGCTCTGGCTCTGCACATACAGACTACCCGAATTCGGGGCGTCACTGCTGGCGAAGCAGCTTCCTCCTGGGTGGGCAGGTGCGTCCACACTGCAGCCCCGCTCCCAGGGTACAGTGGGCAGTGCAGGGGAGCCGCTGCAGTGTGAGTTAACAGCCGGCAATGCCCGTGGATGTGAGCGCTGCAGGGCCTCCAGAAGACCTGCTGCTGCGCTCAGCTAGAAGCCCCCAGGGCCGGAGGGCGTGAGGCCCGGAGGCGCTGCGATCTGCTCCAAGCCCGCCTCATCCCAGTGGGCTGATTCAGAGCCGCCACGGCCCGCCGCTATGACCACTGCCCAAATGGTGGCCGCTCCCCAGCCGTCTGGCAGCGAGAGCTGCCCCCGTGTGACTCTGGGATCGGGGCTGGCGGCTCTGCAGGCCTGCGATGCTGGCAGCCTCGGTGTTGAGCTTGAGCATCCACCAGCCTGAGCTCCTGCCTGATGTGGCCTGGCCACGAGTGTCCAACACCCGTCCCTGTGGAGCCAGGGCTCCGTCCCGTGGCTGTGGAGTCTGTCCCTGCCGCAACAAAAACTGTGCACACAGAGCCACAGGTTCATCGCCCGTCGCGTCAGCGTAATCAGTGCCTCTTTTCATTCTCAGAGTGACCCAATTTGTGAACAGACTGCAGGTCTAGCTAGGCCCATCGACATGCCGGCGGAGCTGGGCATGATCCCGGTGCCAGGGCGATTTTCTTAAGGCTTTGGGAAATTAAATACGGGTTTTTTTTTTTTTTTTTAATACTTTTTGGCAGTTGATTTTCCACCTGGCTGGGAAAGATTCACTCAAAACATATGGCTAAAACGGACCTGTAGGGAGGAGGAACTTGTGTTACGTGTGCCCAGGAGCATCGTGTGTGCATGTGTGCCCATGTGGGCACAGAGCGGAGAGGCCAGGCAGTGGGTGCTGGGATGGGAATCAGGGAGACTCGCACGGCAGGTTCTGAGGCCCTGCGGGCTCAGTGCTGCCTGGAGAAACTTAGGTTTTCAGTGCACTCCGAGCACCTGCTCTACAGCATTGTGTAGTTCTCACGGCGCTTATGTTACCTTTGTACTACTGGCTGTGTACATGTGCCACGGACATGCTGGGCACACACACATGTGCCACGTGGGTATGTTTTCTCTCTATAAATTATCTATGTATGGAACAGTCCTAGCTGCGAGTTTTCTACTTCTTGTCTAAACAGGAAACCCCTCTGCCAGGCACATGAGCGGCAGTGTCTCCCGCCAACTCCTTTGGGCCCCGTCTGGCCGCTGCACCCAAGGAACGGGGTCCTCTCCTCACCCAGCTATGGGGTGCACACCTGGTGTAACAGGACCCCTCACAAGGTGGAAGCCAGACGGAAAATCTCAACATGCTCGAGGGTTACAGGATAACGTAAGATGGGGCCTGAGGCAAGGAGGGAAGATGTTAGGGCTCAGACGAGAGGAGCATAGCCCAGGAGAGTGGAAAGCCCAGGAGGGTTGCTGCTGTGGGTCTGGATGGCGCCGAGGGAGGTGGCGGCTTCTGGTGAGAGGGGCTGGGCTGCACACCTGTCGGCCCTGCACTCTGGGAGGCTGAGACCGGAGACCTGCAAGCTGGAACCTAACCTGGGCAATACAGAGAGACCTTGCCTCAAAATAAAAACCAGAAAAGAAGGCTGGGGCGTACCTGGCACCCCACGGCTCCACCCCAGCACCAAGAGACGGGGCGGTGATGGAGGAAACAGTCTGAACTTCCATTTATTGAGTGCAGCTTTCGCTGGTCACATGGCAATTCGATACACACAGCCCTGCCGAGGAGGGCACCAGCTCTTCTCATCAGTGTAGACACAACATGAACAGTGAAGAGTAAGGAACGGGTGAAGCCCAGCGTCCTCCGTCTGGGGCGTGCGGTGCAGCCGCCGGGCTGGGTCTCGGGAAAACTGCCCCTGCCTCCTGCGGCCCATGCAGCCTGCAAGTCTCCAGAGCCGGGCTCCTGGGATGGTGCAAGTCCCCCAGGGTCACACCCTCCGTGTGCTCGCAGCCCCCTGCCAAGCCCTCCCCTCAAGGACTGGCCACTGTCCCCAGGGCCTCACTGCCGGCTCCCATCAGCACAATCAGTTCCACGTTTTGGGCCCTGGAACCGACCCTGGAGGAAGCAGTCCCATTCCCAAAATCTGCAGGGACTCGTGGAGGCAGTGGGTTTCCTCTAGTGCCTTAAAGGACCCCATTTTCCATTTTGGATTCTCAAACCAAAAATAAAACAAAACCCCCCAAAGTAAAATAAATCAAAACAAAACAAGAGGGACTTTGAAGATACCAGCCAGCCCTCCTCCAGGTCCCCCAGGTGGGTGCCATGTCCCCTTGGGCTTTCCTCCATGGCTGTCAAACCCTCGGCCCTGGCCCGGCCGGCTGCACAGTGCGGCACGGAGGAACATGCCCGGGGAAGCCGTGCCTTGCTCTGGCCTCCTGGCGCCCGAGCCCAGCACCGCTACCTCCTCCCTGAAGCCAGGGTGGATCTGCAATGGCCCCCACACCTGGCCTGGGTCTGTGACTCTGTGGTGAGAGGAGACCCCTCTCCTGGCCTGTGCTCCTGTTCCGTGACCCTTTCTCGAGGTGAGTGACTTGGGCCACTCTGCCATCTTCCCACACTCTGAGCTGCAGAGCGAGGCTGGCTCTGGTCCAAGCTCTCTGTGGTGACAGCAGCTTGGTGGGGCCAGAGAGACTAAGAAAAAGGAACTGAAGCAGCACTGCTGGACTTTGATCTGGAGGCGGGCCGGTGGGCGGTGAGCAGGAGCGGCCGGCCCCTGCGGTTTGTCTGTCCCTGGCGGTGGCTTTCTCCAGCGCTAGCTGTTGTTCTCGGCCGTGAGATACTTGAGGGCAGCGAAGCCATAGCGGCGCGACATGTCCTGCTGGAACTCCTCCTTGAGCGTCTTGAGACACACGCGGTACTGCTTGTTGGAGCGGAACTTGGTGATGTCGAAGCTGGGCGCGTGGGGCATGTGGATCATGTAGGCGTTGGGCAGCACAGTGAACTCGTACTCCTGCAGGCAGACCGAGAGCGGGGTGAGGGCCGGTCAGGCCTGCGGGCGGCACTGCGGCCCCCCGAGGGCAGGGCTTGGACTGATCCCACGGCCCTGTCTGGGACATCAGGCTTTGAGCCTTGGCTTCCTGTCTGGCTTGGAGGAGGAGCCAGATCACAACCCACACGGGGTCACCGGGAGTCGAGGCTGCAGGACAGCCACTGGGCCCTCACGCTGCTGTCTGTGTCCTGTGATGGCGCTTGGTGCTGACAGCTTCCCCAGCCGGGCTGGTGGGGCCAGAGAAGGCGAGGAGGGAACAAACGCAAACCCTCAGCTGGGGGGGAAGCTCGCCCAGAGCAAACCTCGCCGCTGCCTTTTGTCACAGGTCACCACAGAGTGCCCTCCGCACTCTGGCAGGACGTGGCCAAATCCTCAGTCCAAGCACCAGCGGCCTCTGACAGCCGCCACGGCACGGATCTGCCATGTGGCCTGGCAGGAGAGGTGGGCATGGGCCCAGCCACCTCCTCCCTCTGCGTCCGGGCACAGCGTCTGCCAGCTCTGCTCAGCGGGCTTCTGGGCCCAGAGGGGATGAGGCGGCTGGGGACAGCTGCTTCTGGCCCAAAGCTGATGGCGAGGAGAAGCCATGGGGACCCTGGGCAGGATGCCCCAGTGCTCAGGCCCCTGGGGACATGGTGGGGGCAGAGGCCTGCCTACCTCTGGCTCCTGTGGGTGTAGCCAGGCGACCAGCTATGGCCTCCACGAGTCACGGGGAGGAGTAGTTACATGTGACATGCACTACAGACCAGGAAAGGAAAACGGGCACTGCGTTTTCAAGAACCCCACGACACTGTCGAAAACCAGCAGTCACAGCGCCAGAAGAATCGGCTTTCTGGAAACCGCTCACCTCATGGTGCCACCAGACTCATGCACGACACAGAAAGCCCTGCACCCTGCTGTCTGACGGAGCAGCCTGGGCGCCTTCCCTGGGATTCGGGAACCATGTCCCTGAGGGCCGCCTCCTTTCCCTCAGGATGGACCCCTCTGTCTGCACTGTGGCTCTCAGCCCTCGTGGCCCCCAACCTCGCGGGGCCGTGGGCCAGCACAGCAGAGATGCAGGGCTGCCCACGCCGGCGGGCACTGGGCACCTCGGCTCCGGCTGTAACCCAACTGCTGCCAGCAGGAGCAGGCGCCTAGAGATGGGTGGCCCCAGGGAGGGGTGGGGCTGTGCTGGGCGCCCCTCTGAAGGAACCGGGTCAGCTTGGATTTCTGTGTGTGACACAGGAGCTGGCAGATGACAGCAGAAAGGGCCGCTGCGTGTCTGTCTGGGTGAGATGTGGGGCATGGGAGCTGCCAGCTGAGGGCCCTGGCAGCCCAGGCATGCCTGGAGCTCACAGAGAGCTCCACTGCACCCTGGGCACCCCTCGAAGAGGCTGCCAATGTACTCAAATCACGCGTGGGGATTTGTGGCCCAAGGGAGCCCGAACCTCACCACTCTTCAGGCTGAAGGGAGCAGTGGTGAGTGGGTCTCAGTGGCCTCCTGGGTGTCTTCCCAGAACTCCCAGCCCAGTCCAAAAGCCTCAAGCCCCCACCCCCGGCGGACACCGCCCCTCACCTGTGCGTCCAGCTCCATGATATGAGCCACCTTGTTCCAGCCGAAGCCCACGAACCTGCGGTCATAGTCGGGGCAGTCCCGCCTCACTACAACATAAGGCTCGAAGTCGGCTTCCCACTCCACCCGGTAAGGCGTGGTGGCAGTCCGCCACTTGGCGAAGTTCGTGGGTGCGTGGCCTTTTGTCCAGACGTGGTACCTGGGATACAGGGAGAAAAGCCACTGAGTGTGGGCATGAAGCCCAGCCTTGGGCACCTGCCCCTGGGTGGGTGCGGGGACAGGGACAGCCGCTCTACGCTGCTAGGTGTGTGTTCTTTCGCCACAGATCTGAGCTCACACTGAGCTCGTCTACGCCCTGAGGAAATGTGCCCTGGGGGGTGGCCAGCACGAGCCTGGGTGCTCTCGTGGGGTAGACTCCAGGGTCGCTCCTTGCTGAGCCAGCTGGGCACCCCCGGGGCAGCCCGCCAGGAGGCAAAGCCCTGCCTCAGAATCCCTGTGTTACGTCGTATGGCTACAGGGATTTCTGGGGCAGAACTAGGTTCCTGACCAGGGAAACAGATTAACAAAGCGGGGCTGGCCGAGGCGGGCATGCCTGGTCAGGGAAGTGTCAGTGTAGATCCAGAAGGAAACGAAGGGCCATGCTGCGAGCTGCGTATGGGGCCACATGGCAGCAACCAGGATGCTAGGATACCAGACGCCTACCCCGACAGCGCATGCCGGGAGAGAAGGAAGCTAGCTGGCAGTGGCGAGAGGCCACCTGCAGCAGGTGGAGGACAGGAGATGGGGACGGGGGCCCTGGCTGGAGGGCACAAGCCTGCTGGGCAGGGACCAATGGCCCAGAATTCCTAATGCAGCAACAGAGTGGACACAGCTGTGGGCCAAGGTGCAGCTGCTAATGTGGACACTAGCTCGACATGCATGGGACCACGTGGCCTGCCACACGGTGCAGGGTTTTCAGTTCCTGCTCAGCTGGTGTCAGGTCATGCCTGCCCATGATTGACCTGCCCCTGCATGGCTCTGCCCGCCTGGACAGCCTGGACAGGGGCTCGGTGACGGGTTCCAGATGGAATGAAGGATGAACAGATGGGAAGGGAGGGGCCCAGAGGCCCCTGACAGATCCAGCATGGAGAGAGACGTCTTCATAGCTGCTGAGAGCAGAATAAAGCCAGAGACACAGTCCATGCCCAAGTGGCAGGCGGCAGAACCACGAGGACAGCATGGGAGGGTGGGGCGACTGCAGTCCCTGGGCCCACAGCTGCCGGCAGGAGGTCACTGTCACCCGGAGGCTGGGGTCTTCTGCACCTCGGGGCCTTGTCCGGGCAGGTTGCGTGGCACTGGCTGGTGGGTGGCCTTCCACAGAGCTGTGCTGCTGGGGCAGATGGAGGGGACCTGACACTCACGCAGCCCCAAAGACCTTCTGGGTGTGGAAGGTTTCTCAGGAGTCAGCAAAGGGCGAATCCAAGGAGGCCACGGAGCTGCTGGTTGCTGTCTCTGACCTCAGACAGGAGCCACGAAGCCTGAGGGGCAGCCAGGACTCCAGGCTCCAGTGCAGCGGGCCAGCCAGCCGGGTCCAAGGGCCACCTCTGCCGCGTGGAGGACCCCACCATGGGGCTTTCCTTGGGAGAGCCCCGGGTAGAGCAGCCCCGGGTAGAGCAGCATGGAGCTGGCCAGATGCGGAGGAACACAAGGAGCTGGGGAAGGAGCAGCAGACAGCACGCAGAAGGCGCTCCACGCAGCTGGTGGCCTGGGAGGTGGCTTCCCCAAGTGGGTTTGAATTCTGCCCTTGCACCAGTGGGGGCAGGTTCACTGCCTTCCAGTAAAAGGGTGCTGGTCATGACCCCAAGGGAGGCAGTAGGAGGACCCATCTGCACAACGCACATGGAGCTGGGTCACCCACGAACAAGGTGTTCTTACTGCTTCTCCCGTCCTGCCCAAAGGCGACGATGACCCACAGGCACCAGCTCTGTGACCCTGTGGTCACAATCTTCAGATGCTAAGCTCTCAGCCTGCTGTAATGGGGAGTGGAGTCAGACAAACGAGTGGCCGTGTCAGTTCTGATCCAGCTGGGGAGGCAGCTCTGTCTGCTCTGCCCAGAGAGCAGCAGGGGGCTGGGCAGAATGGGAGCAGGGAGCTAAAGCCCAGCCCAGCCTGAGCCTGAGCCTGTTTGATGCCTCCCCTGCATCTGCAGGACGAGACTTCAGGGGCTCTGTGGATACCAGGCCCTGACACCACAGCATGGCAGCCTCAGAAACCACACTGCACTGGTGGGACGGGGTCCTGGCTCCGTCTTGTATGGTACCGGCAGGAAGAGGAGGCCTGGACCACGGAGCCCACGTTGCCAAGCTTCAGTGTCTGAGGGAGTCCTGGGTCTGGGTGCGGCAGGCAGGGACCCAGCCACGAGAAGCCAGTCTGGAGGACGATGAGGCTGGGAGAAGCCCCTTCATCCCAGGCGTGGCAGGGAGCAGGCCTCAGCCACTTGCAGCCGAAGTGCTCCTTATACAGAGAGCAGGGGACAGAGACAAGTCTCGAAGGAAGGGCTAAATTGAGCACCTGGCCTGGGGCTCCTGAGCTGTCGGGTGAAGTTTAATCACAGACACAGCAGACGACAGCAACTCGCGCCCAGGCACGAGCCTAGAGGAGGGCTCTCAGGTCACCAGGGCTGGAGTGGAGGAAGGCAGCTGGAAATCTTCTGGGAGCCCAGCGACCAGGCGGGGCTCAGAGGGGTGGGTTTCCAGGAGCGAGCTTCATTCTGTCACTTCAAACACTGACTGGCAGGAAAGTGCAGGACTCGTCAGTGCCTGGTGGAAGCGCGGCGGCTCTGCGGGCCAGGCCGAGTCTATGCTGCTGGGCGAGCTGTTTGGCTGCCCAGACTGCTAGAGCCTTTACCCTCCTGGTTTGTCAGATCTGGGAGGTCACCACGCCTGGCTCATGCCAAGCACCCTGCCGCGCATGCCTGTAATTCTCTCTGGAAACAGGACAGCTTGGGGCAGGCAACGAACACAACCCGACGGGGCCCTAATTTGCTCGTCTTGCGGCCAGGTGGCTCTGCTTGGGTGTGTTACTTTCCTGCCAACTTGACCCATGAAGGTACCTGCTTGGCCACCCACCAGGTGGCAGGGGACACTCCCAGCGGGTGGCACAAGCTGTCTAATGGCACTGTCACACAGGTGCCGTTGGAGGTTCAAGCCGGTGGTACCTGCATGATTTCAAACTCACTCGCTGAGCCTAGAAGGAGGCTGCCAGGGGTCCGCAGGGCTCCCACTCACCTGCCCCCTGCACGTGCCTGGCCTTGGGAGCCAGAGCCCATGGACACCCAGCAGCTCCCTGCAGGATTCCAGGCTACCGAGGAGGAAAATGGGGCTTAGTTCTCTCGGTCCTGGTGGCAGCATGGCCTTCAAGGCCCGCATTAGCTGTATGCAGCTGGAGTCACCTCCGAAGACTCTGGGGCAGAGCCACCGCCACCCAGGCCAGGCCTGCAGGGCTTGGAGAATACACCAATCATGCCCAAAAAGACAGCTGACCCAGGGTGTTCACAGAAGGGAGCCCACCTCCAGGGGCATGCCCACCTCCAGGGGCGTGCAGAGCAGGAGACGGAGCAGGGTGGGCAGAGCGCAGGGGTGGACGGAAGCGGGCCTGCCCTGAGCCCTGCACCCGGCTCCCCGAGACGTCTCTCCATCAGGTCGGACGGGCAGGGAGCCCAAGCACGGCTGCGGTTCTCAGGCCTCCTCACGGAGCCACGACTGACGCTGGGCTACCGGGATGGAGTCCTCCTCACCACAGAGGACGGCGCTGGCCACTCACCTGAACGTGAAGAGGGTCCCCATGTCCAGCATAGACAGCAACTCTGCCTTGGACTTGGGGAAGGAGAGCCGGTAGCGCAGCGTCTCAAACGCAGGCACGATCATCGCCTTCTTGGTGTTGGCTAGGTCCAGCTGCACGACAGACTTCCTGGAAAGAGGGGCGGCAGGTGGAGTCCAGGCCGGCTGAGGCCCTGGCTCAGAGCGGCCCTGCAGCCCGCGAGACACCGGCCAGGGAGCCCGGCCTTCTGGGCGCTGGATGCCAGGGTGAGGTGGCCACTCTAGGTGCGAACGGAGGGTCAGGGGACTTCCTGTTCCTCCCTCTGCACTGCTGGCCACAGAGCAGCACGGGGACAGTGCTGGCCGAGTCCCAAGGGGCCCCATGGAACCCAGGTGGCCCTTGCCTTGCAGCGAGTGGCTGCGAGCACAGTGATCCAACATTCTGGGAACGTCTGGCGTGAGATGGCCCCCCAGGGACAAATGGAAGTGACTGCCCTGTGGGGCTCTCGTCACTTCCCGGCTCACTGTTGGTTATGGTGGGCACCGGAAGGCATCTGAGTGCTCCTGCAAGTGGCAGTGCCAGAGCCTGCAGGACCACTGTTCTGCGGTTGCACCACCCATCGTGAGCCCATGCAGGGCAGGGACCAGGTCAGAGCTGCAGGGAGGATGACACCAGCGGGGCTGGGTCCACACTCAACAGGGCAGGGCAGGCACAGGACAGCTCTCTGCAGCCAGCCTGGTCAACTTGGGGTCTCACCAGCTTTCCTTGGGGAGAGGTGGCCATGAGAGCCCAGCTGGGGTTCACCTTGACACCTCTGAATCTCGTTTCTAGCTCACACCTTTCATTAACCCTGAGTCGGTCATGCGCCACATGACGGATGGCCACGTGTCCCTGCCTCGGGGAGGTGTTGAAGGCTCACAGTGGGTGATGCTCGGAGCTATGCTTAGCTCGGGCGAGAGCCAGAGCCGAGTCGGCTGGGCCTGCCATGCCTCCGCACCGCCTGTTGACGGGAGGGCTGCCGAGGCCCCTGCTCCAGGCTGGCACCGTAGTCAGCCTCTGCCTGTCAGCTGCACCCCTCTCCACTGCTTGCAGTGATGGGGTTGGGCCAGAGAGGTCCACAGAAGCCCTGGAGCCCTGTGGTGTGCGGGGAGCTGTCCCAGCACGGGGTGCCTGCTCCTCAGTCCGCAGGCCCCAAGCACCTCCTGCATGTTGGTTGCTCAGAGACCCAGGCGGCTATGTCCGCCTGGTGGCGCCCACGCCCTGTTCTAAGTGTCTCCACGTGCCACAGCCCACGGGCCCAAGGCTGCACCTGCAGCTGATTATTTTAAGAAGTGAGTGTGGTGGAGGTAGGGTGGGAGGCTGGGACAGCTGAGCTACAGAGGGATGGACAAAACACACACAGACCGGGGCATGAGCACGGCGCAGGGTCCCACGGAGCTCACTGGCTGAGCCTCATCCCCGCTGCAGTCACACCCACTACTCCAGCTCCCACTCCCCAGTGTGCCTGGGCCAGCAGGGCCACTCCCAGAGTGCTGCCTGCCCTGCCTGCCTAGGGAGACGTCTGACCACCCCGGGAGGGAAGCTCCCCACCCTTGTGACTCTACACACACACACAGACACAGGACTCAGCCACCCCACTGAGCCCCATGACCTCCTGACTTCCAGAGGGACAGAGCTGTCCTGAGCCCTCCCCAGGGACCAGTGTCTGTGGCCTGGGGGCTTCTGGGGGTCCTGGAGTCGGGCGTGAGGCCTGGTGCCTTCCTGCATGGAGAGATGACCTCGTCTAAGCCAATCGCAAAGCAATGGCTTTGGCGAGGCAGTCAGGTGAGACTGGGGTTGCTGCTGGCCCTGTGGTGTGGAGGTCGCAGCGGCCCCCGAGACTGCAGACCTGGGAAGCACCGGAAGCCCCTGCTGAGGCTGTAGGAACGGTCATGAGGGCTGGGGCTGGGTCAGTCAGGGCAGAGCCGCCATGCTGCTGCCTCCACTTTTTGTGCTGGGTGTGGACAGGCGGGGGTCAGGGACAGCACGTGGCCCCGAGATCTAAGTGCAGCACACGCTGGTGTAGCAGTGTCCTTCTGACATGCCTGTGGGTTCTGTATCAGTGGCTGCAGGCGGGGCATGAACTCCTGTGGTCTGCAGGGCCGAGCAGGTGCATGGGCGGGGCTGGCATCCACCACGGGGCTCTGCCGCAAGCAGGAGTTCACTGGTCAGGAGAGGCACAAGAGTGCACCAACACGCAGGTGCACTGGGTCCCTTACAGCGCACCTGGTCCACCATCGGCGATCAATCGCCGGTGCCGAGTGTTCATGTCCTCAGCATGGAGCACTCCCTGTGCACGCTGCTCGGAGCACCGCTGCTCCTGACCGGCACCGCTGTGCTCGGCTCTGCCGAGACCACTGAAGTGCTGGGAGGTGTGGCATGCAAGGGCTTCAACACAGCCGGCAGCTGTCCTCACTGTCCCCAGATCAGGTGGTGGTGGCACAGAGCCTGCCCCAGCGCCGCAGGCTCCAGCAGCTCGGGCTCTGGGTCCCGGGGCTGGCAGTGGCTGACTTGAGTCTGTCTTCTGCCTGTACCACTGCAGCAACCAGCGCCTCGGCGACAGTGACAGTCCAGGGCGGCACCTCCCCCTCCATGCTACGTGAGCCACACCCAGCACAGAGCTGGCCACGGGGGACGGCGGGAGGCTCTGGATGCCAGCATCCTTGGTCTTCGCAGCACTGCATAGTGAGAGCCCTGCTGCACAGGGCGGGAAGGCCGGGAGGCTGCGTGCTTGCAGCCGAGAACATGCTGACTGCCAACAGCGTGGCTTGTCACCGTGGCAGAGGGCCCCAGCCTCAGGACACAGCACTGCGCTGCATGTCGCCGAGTAGGAAAAGGTCAGAGGTCACAGCCAGAAGTGAATCTGCTACACGCTCATTGCCGCTGCCTCACTGTAGAGCGGCACACACCTGAGCTGGCTGTAACAGGGCAGGAACCGAGGCAGGCCTCTCTGCAGTGAGCGCAGAAGTCAAGACGGTCCCTGCAGTGCGCTGGCTGCACTGGGGTTTGCAGGCAGGTGCCAGCTGGCGGGGCTGGCAGAGGGCCCCAACGCTGAGTACTCTGATGGCCCTAGCAGGACCCCTGGCATCATCCTTCAGGAGGAACTACTGGCCTCACCCTACAGCGCGCGGCAGGAGGTGGAAGGCTCAGCACATGGCAGGCTCAGTGAGTCCCCTGCCCCGGGAGCGTCCTGGAGCTTGTGCCCACATGCTGTCTGTGTGGCTCTGGCCACTCCCCAGAGATCTAGGCTGCAGGGCTGAGGCACAGCGCCCACCCCTCCTTCAGGAGACGCAGGGCGAGGAGCAAGACTTCAGTGACGCCGCACTGCCAGGTCCAAGCCTCAGGCCGGCACTGTCTTCCAGCTGGACTGGGGGGCCGCAGTGTTAGCCGCTGCTCCGGGGTGAGCATGCTGAATGTTTTGGGGAACCAAGGAGGACCTCAGGAAGGATGAGAGGAACCTTTAGGGCGAGATCCGAAGGTTTGGGGAGCCTGGGCTTTCAGAATGACCTGGCCTTGCCCATGGGGTGAGCAGGGTGTGTGGACAGAGGCCCCCTTCTCCTCTAACACTAACCTCTCTGGGCCTCACCACGTTGCCCTGTGGAAATGACCCACCCCAGAGGGAAGAGTGATGGGGAGGGGACACAATGCTGGGCAGCAGCAGGACAGGGCACATGATGGCGTCTTCACTAGCAGCATTTGGACAGCTTGGCACAGCTTCTGCTCAGTGTCAGTGTGAGGGGCGCCTGTCCTCACTGGGCACGGCAGTCACAGCAGCACATGCTGTCCTTTACCCCAACTCCAGCCAGAATTGAAACACGGGTTGGAGGCATACACACTTGCCACGTGCAGGCCGGAAATAGCCCTGACTCGGTAGCAAAGCATTCTGGAAGCCCATGGCAGGTCCATCCGCTGTCCACAGAGGGAGGACAGGGCTTTGGATGCAGCTGCATGCTGTTCTGGTGCCCGGGAAGGGCGGGGGTTGCAGGTCCTGGCACAGGTCAGCAGGTGGGGGGGCCAGGAAGGAGGCAGCCCAGTAGGCTCAGGAACACCAAAAACCTAGTTTTGATTACTGATTAACACACACACACACACACACACACACACACACACACACACACACTTTTAGGAAAATCCCAACTTCTGTTCCTTTGCAAGTTCTGCTGACCTAAGAATGGAGGACCAGAAGCCCAAATCTCAGGAGGGGTGGGCGCTCAGGGTGGTACCAGACAGCACCTCAGGTGGGATCTGAAAGGACAGCCTGGGGCCAGGGGCAACATGGAGCCACTGAGGGGCTGAGCTGGACTCTGTCTTGAGGCCACAGCACCAGCTGCCAGGCTCTGAGCGGAACAGTGCTCAGAGCAGAGAGATGAAGCGGCCAGCCCTGAGCACCGCATGGCCACACGAGGGCGCCCTCTCCACGCGCACTGGGCTCCCGCTGGGCAGCCGGGGCCAGACTCCTGGGCGGCAGTGCTTGGCACCTCAGCTCCCTGCCTGCCTCCAGCTGCCTTCTCAGTGAGGCAAGGGGACCCTGCCCTGCGCCCCCTCAGGTCCATGTTAAATGGCTCATGATGTCGCAGAAGCTGCTGAGAACGTGGGCCTCCTTCCCCTGCTGAGGCAGAACGTCCCAGACAGATATGTGTGGCCTCAAGGGACAGAGAGCAAGACACAGACGTCAGAAGGCCAGGGCGGTCAGGCGGCGGGGAGCGGTGCTGCGGAGCCGCAGCCAGGCCCACCCTCCGATTCTGAGGTCGGTGCTGCCTGCCCCAACCAAGCGAGCCCAGGGAGGGCCCCGCCGGGCCTGCTCGGTGCAGGTGTGGCCCAGTGGGGCGAGATGCAGGGAGACAACGTGCGCTGAGGAGAGACCTCAGCCTTCTCCTGGCGAGGAAGGACCTCTGGGCTACGAGGCCAGCCTCCACCCGCACCGTTGCTTGTTCCACCCCGAATGTCCCTCCCTAGGGGCCATCTCGCCCTCCATCAGGCACACCAGGCGCCTGTGCCCCTGCCCTGCCCAGGGAGCTAAACGGACACGGAGGTCTGCAGCGCCAGTTCGAGCTGCATCGACAGGTGCCCCGTGGCCGACCCGCTGCGTCCGGACCCTGGAGCTCCTGCACTGGCCGCGCAGCCTCAGGCCGGGCCCGAGAGGCCTGCCCTGCAGTTCTCCTGTGGCCGAAGAGGCGCCAGTCCTGCCGTGGTGGGGCTTCACAGCTGCGTCCGGCACCCATCAAGCGCGTCACTCACTGCGGGGCCTCAGTGTCACACAGCTCTGTGTGAGAGACCAGCCTGGGATCACTGCCGGGTGGAGACGCGAGGGCTGCCTGACCCAACCGGAAGGAGACAGTGTGCTTCCAGGATGCTGCGGACAGAACTAGACCGGAGACAGGCAGGGTACTTCCGAGGCCCAACGCGCCTGTCCTTACGTGCAGGTCGGGTCCGTCTGCTGGCTGCGCGGTGACAGCTTCCAGCCTGCCTGGCGCGTCTTCCTGACCTGCGCCGGGAAGCCTGTCGCTGGGCAAACCACGAGGGGCGGCGCAGGCCGAGGCCCTTACCTGAGGTACTCATAGAGCCCGTACATGGGCAGGAAGTCGATGTCGGACAGGAACATGTAGGGCGTGCTGGTGTGCTTCATGGCCACGTTGCGCAGCAGGTTCACGGGATAGAACTGCCCCTCCTTGTACACGATGTGGTAGCCCACGTTGTGACGGCCCATGAGAACCTCGGAGCCCTGCGCATAGCGCAGGAACTGTTGGGCCTCGGCGTCTGACAGGTACAGGGCCAGGCTGATGGGGCCCTCCCAGTGCTTGCAGATGGCCTCCAGCATCTGCAGCCTGTGAGACGGAGGGCACAGCTCGACCTCGGCTGCCGCCGCGCTGGGCGGGACACAGCCCCCCTCCACCTCTGGGACGCGGACCCGGGCGCCCAGGCCTGTTCTGCTTTCACTGCGCTATCTAGCAAAGCCATGCCCCATTCTCTCCCCCACACCCTGCATGAGGCATGTTAGCCCCACTCTCTCCCCCACACCCTGCA